GGCAGTACACGAAGGCGTAGTTCAGGACGTAGCGCTTCAGCTCCTCGGTGGGGAAGCCGTCGGCGTGCCTCCAGGCGGAGCGCAGGGCTTGGCGCCAGGTGTCCATGTCGGGCGTCCGGAGCTGCGCGATGTAGGGAACTTCCTCCGTGGCGTCCTCGGGGTTGCTGGTCCATGGGCAGAAGAGGAGCAGAATCTTCACGATGTGCTCCTCCTCGCCGTTGCTGCCGAGCGCGCCGTAAAGCACCGGCACATGGGGTCGTTTGCGTGGGGTGATCATCCAGTCGTGGCGATACCTCTGAGCGGAGTTGCCCTTTCCCAGCGGCATCCAGTCTTCACCGCCTTCCTCCCGGATCAGGTAGTCGTCGCCGCTGTCCAGCGCGTTCTTGCCCTTGTTTTCGCTCAGCTTTGTCGTGCCGCTTTCCGTCAGCAGGGCGTGGAAGGGGACGTCCGTCGCTCCGCGAGCCAGGGCGTCCGTGGCGTGCTCTTGTCTTTCCACCGTCCACGGGTGGCGGGCAAGCTGGATTTGGTAGTAGCGCGCGAACTCGAAGGCCGAGAGGGGCCGGACGCGCGGGTCGTTTCCACGGTTCCCGTAGACGGTCCACGGTTGCGGTCGGGCGATGACCTTTCTTTTCCCCTGCGGGTTTGAATTCCTGTGAAGGTCGCTTTGAAGTTGTTCTCGGTCTTGCCAGGGTCGGTTCTCCATGGCATTTCGCAAGAGCTCCATCCCGGTCTTGAGGGACATCTCCGTGACCTGGGCGGTCTTGATGGTTTCCGCCGCCGTGGGGTCGTTGCTGCCGGCGTTGTCGATCAGGTTCGCGCACTCCACGGAGCCGCGGACGACGCCGCGGGCGAAGGCGTCGGTCATGAGGCGCTTCGAGACTCGGGCACCCACGTAGCCGCTGGAGGGGTTGTTCTGCAGCTCCGCTTGCAGATCGTTCTGGCTCTTCTTCCACTCCTGGACTTCGTTGACGGCGATGGGATTGCGCTTGTTGCTGTAGTCGCAGGCGTAGCCCGCCTGCGCGGCCTGGTTCACCTGGGCCTGCTGGGTCATTTCGCGCAGGCTGGCTTGGGCCGGGCAGTCCTTGTCGCAGTGTCCGGACAAGGCGTGGAGGTCCTCCGTGATCGGGAAGCGATAGGGCACCTGCACGTCGCCGTTGCAGCGGAGGGCGGCCAGCAAGGCGGGGTGGTTGCCGTTGAGGTTCGGGTCGTTGCAGGGCCCCCACAGGCGACCGAGAGCGCTGCGCTTGCCCTTCACGGGCATGCCCATCTCCTCTGCCAGGCCTTGGCACACCAGCGTCGTCGTGTCGGTCAATTGCATCTCGCGCGGGAAGCCCGACTTGCACTTGGTGGGGTCCTTCTTGTCGCGGCAGTGATCCAGCGGCAGGCGCGGGCCGCCCGGTTTCTTGGGCAGGTGCACGTGGTGCTGCTTCAGCTGCTGCAGGGCCTCCACGTCCTCGTCCAGGAAGAGCCGCCGCCAGGTTGTATCGTCCATGGACGCGTCGGCCTTCTGGTAGTCCGGGCGGCTCAGGGCCAGGAGGGAGTCGCGGTAGGCGGGCCACTTCTCCTCCGTTTCCTGGCGCTTGTTTTCCCATTCTTCTGGATCCTGGTAGACGGTGCGGCTGACGTGAGCGGTGTAGGTGCAGTATTTCTGGAAGAGGTCCATCTTGTGCTCCGGGTTCAGCGCGTGGAGCTCCGAGAGGGATTTGAACTGGTGGAAGCACTGGAGGAAGAGCTGCGGGCGAGGCGAGCATGCGGTCGAGGCTTCGGCTTGTGTCGTTCTTCTTGTGTTTGGGTGGGGTATGGTGTCTGGCGGTTTTCTCGTGTGGTGCGGGCAAGCATGCTTGTAGTGGGTTGGTGGTTTTAGGTCTATAGTAGGTGTTGTTCGAGGAGCAGGCCTGGAAGTGGATGTGCAGCACCCCGGACTTCTGGCATTCGATGGAGCCGTAGGCGGCGTCGAGTCGGCCGAGGATGCCTCCGCACGCCATAGCGTTGCTGCCGAACGCATCCGTGCAGGGTCTGTCGGAATTCGCGCAGTCGGGGCATTTTGGGCAGTAGCGGACGCCGAAGAGGTGCCGGAGCGCGAGCTGTACCAGGATGCGGAAGCCGTCCGCGCAGGCCACGGGATCTTTGGTCAGAATGGCTCTTCGTTCGTCGTAGGGCGGCAGCTCCGCGGCGAGTGCTTCCGGGTTCAGCTTGTAGAACTCCACGTCCAGTTCGGGCTTGCTTCGGCTCTGCGCGGCGCGATTGGTCTCGGTCTCTTGCCCGAGGCTGGGGTCGGATTGCCGGGCGCGGGCCAGGCGCAGCATCACTGTGTTGTCTCGTTCGGACGGGGAGAAGGTCACGAAGAGCGGGGTGCCGTGGCAGACTCGATTGGCGTGGGTTTGGTGGCGCATGGTCGTGCGCACCTCGTGGGTGCCGGGGGTGTTCTTGCTGCGCGCCGCCGTGTTGTCCAGGACCTGTGGCTCTTTGGCTTTCTTTCGTCGTGTCGTTGCAGGCAGGGGGGGGGGGGGGGGGGTTGCGAGTCTACGTATGCAAGTTTGTGTTTTCCGGTCGTAGTAGTTTCTGTTCCGTGGCGTCGGGGGCTTTTTTTTTTGTTGGTTCTGCGCGCCTTCACGGCTGCCGGCTGCAGTCCGGTGGCGAAGCGCACCTTGCTCAGGTCTCCGTTGATGGCCTTCGTCTGGCCGTTGACGTCGAGGTACTTCCCTTTGACCAGCTCTTTCTGGATTTGCTTGCCGCCGTCCAGGATCTCTTGGCTGGTCAGTGCTCTGCGTCCGTTGTTGTCGTCGGGGACGCTGTAGATGAAGGTGTTCTGCTGCAGGTTCACCATGGTCCTGAAGAGGTAGTTCCACAGGGTGAAGCCGAAGGTCCAGTCCCGCCGGAATTGGGTCTCGGCTCGGCGTTGCATGGCCGCCGCCCACGCGTGGATTTCCACTTGGGGGGCGTCGGGGTTCCTGCTCCTCCGCCGTCGCTGCCGGTCGTTGCGGGCTCCCTGCTGCTTATTCTTGACGTCGGGACAGGCGGTGCCGTGCGCGAAGCAGAAGCTGAAGGCCGTGGCGAAGTAGAGCGGCTGGAACTGGTCTATGAGCATATTGCTTGTTCGCACCTCGTAGGTCTCCAGGATCTTCTCGTTCTTCTGCTTGCTTCGGAGCTGGTCCTCGAGGTCGTTCAGGGCGGCCGTGGCCACGGCGGTCTGGTCCTCTCGGTCTTGGTTGCAGCCTTCCGGAAGAACGGCTCGGGCGCGTTGGTTGGCGAAGATGGCGCCGGCTTGCTGTACGTCTTCTTCCGGGGCGTCCGTGGGGGCCGCCGCCTTCTGCGGCTGCAGTTTGTGGCTGGTCTCGTCCTCTTCTCTCATGCCGTGGATGACCTTCAGCACCTCCGGGGGCACGCCGCCCTCCGGCAGCTGTGCCGCGGCCTCGCGCACGGCTTCTTGTCGCAGGTGCTGAAAGGCGGGGTGGCCCAGGCGTTGCATGTCCAGGATGAGGTTGACGACCACTTCCCTCCGCACCGTCGCTTGGTGGAGCAGGGTTTTGATTTCTGACTCGCTGGTCTTGCCTGTCTTGTTGGTCTTCAGGAGGACCCTCACCACGTCGCCGAGTGCCGCCCCTGCGCGTGGTACGTTCGGCGGGGGCGGCTCTTCGTTTGCAGCTGCCGCTCGCTGCGTTTCCGCCACTCCTTCCTCGTGCGCTTGGAGGTTGCGCAGCACGTCTTCCCATGGCAGCGGGAAGGTGAGGGCGTTGCCCCGGGCTCCGAGGCGGTGGTTGGCGTTCTGGGCTTGCTCGTCTAGGGTGGTTCCCTCGCTGCGGTGCCGTGCTTCCATGGCCATGCAGATCAGCGTGGTGACGCAGGGACTCGCGCAGATCATCTCCATGACGGTGACCTTCTCTTCGTGTAGGCGCGTCGGCGAGTAGCCGGTCCACATGTCGTTGCACAGGCTCAGGGGCGGCAGCCGGCCCTTTCGCAGCTGCTCGTCGCACTCGCTGCAAAGGGGCACTTCGCAGTGCTCGCACAGGGTGTGCTGCATCGGGTGCTGGGAGTTGGCTTGGCATCGATGGTCCTCCGGGCAGCACAGGATGTCGCCGAACCCGGGGATGGTCACCATCCAGTCGTCGAAGTTGGCCACGTCTCTGAGCTTTGCGTCGCCGGCCAGGTCGTCGTAGTAGTCGAGGTATTTGTCGATGCTCAGCAGCTCGTGCAGTTTTGCGGTGGTCTCGGCGTGGTTGTCGTCGTTGCTGCCGGGGCTCTGGATGAGTTTGCGCCAGCTGATGCGGCTGCTGGCCGCCATGTCGGCTGTGCGCGGGTGAATGCAGGCGCAGCTGAAGCAAATGAGCGATTCCACGTTGTCCTTGCTGGTGGCCTCGGCGAAGCTGCGCAGCGCGCTTCTGTCCCGAGAGCTTCCCGCGACGGGCGCGGCCTCTCTGCATCGAAGTGCGACGGCCTCGTTGTAGACGCTGGTCAGGGCGTCTTTCGGCAGGGGCCTGGGCATGTGCTGGGCCACCAACTCCAGCTCCGGTGCGTGAGAGTCCTTGACATGCTCGTGGAGCTTTTCTTCCGTCCCAGAGAATAACGACCATTTGCATCCCTGGAATGCGCAGAAGACCTGCGGCCAGGCTTCGCCCTGGTCCACGTTGTCGGCTTTGGCTTCGGGTGGTATCAGTGGCTGGGCTCGCAGGTGGGTGCTTGCAAAGTGCTTGAGCGCATTTTCCAGCTTTCGTCTGGGGTGGTAGTGGGTGGGCTCCGTTGACTCCGTTGCAACGGGCATGCTGGTCAGCTCTTCGAGGAGGCTGGGTCCTTCCTCTGCTGCTTGGGGGGGTGCCGCCTCTGGGTTCTCTGTGGCTCCTTGCGCCTGACCTTGCCGCGTGCGCTGAGCTTGGCCGGCTGCGGTTCTCTGGCGCTTGGGCGGGCGCGGCTCTGGGTGGGGTGGTGGTGGTGCTGGTGGTGTTGGTGCTGCTGGTGGTGTTGGTGGTGGTGTTGGTGGTGGTGGTAGCGGTGGTGGCGTCTGGTCACTGGGCACGAGCTGCGCGCCGGAATGTTCCGGCAACTTTGGGGGTTGGGGCTCGCGAGGCTGCTCGCTCTCCTGCGTTCGGGCTGCGGTTTTGTTGCGCTTGGGCGGGCGCGGCTGCGGGTGCGGCGCCGGTGGTGGTGGCGGCGGTGGGTTCGCGAGATCTTCCGCAGTCTGCGGTGCTCCCTGCGCTCGCTGCTGCTCGGGGTTGCTGGGAACGAGCAGGTCGTAGTGGTTCTGGCCGTTGTACCACAGGTGAAGGACGTCCTGTTCTCGGAGTTCTCCTGGCACATTTTCGTGGGTGCGGTCGATGGACTGGATGGTGCCGTCCTCGCCGCGCCAATGCAGCGTGATACTCTGCTGGTTCATCAGGCTGAAAGCCACAATGGCCGTGTCCCCTCCCCAGTTGTGGGGGTCGCTTCGAAGGTAGTCGGCCTCTCGAAGCCAAGCGTCCGCTTGCTCTTCGTGCTCTTGGTGCACCGCGTTCTGCTCCAGGAAACGCATGATCTGCTCTCGCAGCTCCACCCCGCTTTGCCGGCTCTTGTCTGCGAGCGCGTGAAAGAGGCAGTTGCCGTCGCCCCTCATCTTCTTCAGCGTGAAGGTCCCCTGGAAGTGCTCCTGTCGCGCGCTGCTATAGTGTCACCCGAGTCGGGGGTCAAATCATTTCTTTACGTGGCATCAAGTTCTTGGCGTTGAAGCATGCGGCTATGTGTGTAGTTATGTATGCTTCTGGCTATCCGAAGAATAGAACCTAATTTGTTTCAAAGCAAGCCGACGGCGGGCCTGCCTCGATGCTGGGCCCGCTTTGTTCCGTGGCGTTCGCATTGGCGCCGCCCCGTCGTGGTGCAGCGCCGCGATGTCCATGAGGAGGGCCCACCGCGGCGTTTGAATCGGATTGCTCCGACAAAGCTTTTGCGGTGACCCTTTCCGCCTGCAGCCGCATTGATCGAGGAGCTGTGCGGCTGAATTAGGCTGCGTGCCGCGCCTCTGCCATTCGGAAAGCGTCTTCGAGTGCGGAATCGTCCTCGGCCGTCCACTTTGTTGGCTTCGGTGGTCTCGGCGCGGGAGCCTGCAGACTGATTAATGCACAGTCTCTGCGTCTTCCAAGCGTTCTTTTCAACCCTCAAGGCAGTGCCTTTTTGCGTCGGTGCGCCCGTTGCTGTCCACTTTGGCCACTGGCCGACCTTCGTGTCCGGGATGTCGTCGGATGCGTCTTCCATGCCTCGGTGCGGGCACATTGCGGTGGAGGCTGCTCGAGGGTTCCAAAGTGAGTCCGCTAGCTATCGCTGCCGTCGAAAGCTTGGCGTGGAGCCTCGTCGATTTTGATCATTCCGGCCTCGCTGGGTTTCCCACAGAAGCAACGGGATTCATAGGACGGCAGGTGCTTGCATTACTGTGGTCGAATGCAGTTCTGGGGCGGTGGCTGGCGTCTTCAGCGTCAAGGAACACTGCGTTGCCAGGTATTGCCTCTTGAACGCCTCGAAGTTGAAACACCATCCGGTCCCCTGCGCGCGCCAAGATCCGGCCGTCTGTCTGCCTTCGTCTCTGCCTTTTTGTTCACTCTCTCTCCTCTCTCTCTCTCCCTCGGTAAACAGGAAGACAGGGACTGAGTGCGAGAGAGTCTGTATGCCTTGACTGCTAGCTTCCTGCATGCCACCTGTTCCTCCTCGTCCTCGACATCGGCCCATCGGCGGCGGTTGCTCGGGTACATTTCCGTTTGACCTGCAGGGCCGGCGGAGAAGGTTCTGCTGCCATTCCTTCCTGCTTGCTGTCGGAAGCGGCTTCGGCCTGGATAGTCGCCGAAAGGTGCGGAACTTCTGCTCTTGATGCTCTTGAGCGCGAATTGGGCTGCGGTGCCAAGCTAGTGCTACTAGTGTGCTCTCATTGCAGGCATGATGGCAGTGACGTTGGCTTGCAGCTGGTTCCAAGCAATTTTTCCGCTCGCTCCTTGCCGTCCCGTCCCAATCACTTCCACCTATTTCAATGGGCCGGGGCTGTCTCGACCAAGGCAGCGGTCTTCTTGTCCAGACCGTCCAACTCAAGCCAGCCAAGATCCGATGCCGTCCCATACTTTTTCCAGGTGGCTTGCGAATCCGTAGACAGGCAGG